GGGGGGGGGGGGCCCCCCCCCCCCCCCCCCCCCCCCCCCCCCCCGGCGGGGAGGGCCCCCCCGCCCCCCCCGGGCGGCCGGACCACCCCCCTTCCCCTCCGCCCGGGATGGGGGGGGGGGGGGGCATCTGGGGCTCCAGCCTCCCAACTCAAATCCTGCCTTTCTGCCGAATGGGGCGAGGGCGGCTAGGCTGGCTGGTCATCCTGGGGCTGGACTCGGGCCCAGCGTCCCCTGGGAGGGCAGCGGGGGAAGAGGCGTCAAAGCCCCCCCCCCGCTTTGTAACCCCCTCAGTGGTTTGTAACCCCCTCAGCCTTCCCATTGCAAGCCCTGTCAAGAGGCAACCGCCTATAGGGAGGACTGTGTGGGGGGCAGGAGAGGGGAGCAGAGGGGAGCTGGGTTTTTTCGGGGGGGGGGGGGAGATGTGACCCAGAGATCACCTGCGGAGCTGGACCCCCGATTAAAGCCTTTGCTTGCCCTCTTTGCTTCTGGGCCCAGCAGCCTCTTCCAGAAACACTGGGGCTGCCAGCCCCCAACCAGCCTCAAGCCCCCCCTTTGCAGCCCCACCCAGAGCCTTTGGCTGAAGAGCCCAGGAAGGCCCCGTGGGCACAGAATGCCACAGTTGGCACCAGGAACCAGGGCGTCCCTCCTGCACGCAGTGGGCATTGGGTGAAGGGTCCCATCCCTGAAACCCTGCTGAGAATTTAAGGCAAACCCCAGAGACACCCCAAGGGTCACTGTTCCTGTCCCTCCACCCCGGAGGGTCCAAAAGACCCCAGGCCCCATCCGAGGGGCAGGATAGGGGGCACACGCTGGAAGTGTGCCGGTTGCCACCAGAAGCTTTTAAGGAGAAAAGGAGAGCAGCCGCCTTCCCAAAAGTTCCCTGCAAAGTGGCTTTTTCGTGGACAGGAGCACCCCAAACTGAAGCGGAAAAGGAATTCAGCGAAAATCTTGACCCAAGAAATGCTGCAGGAGAAGCCCTGAAGCTGACGGTCCTGACACCATCAGGCCTCGGGGGGTGGGGGGACGACAGGCTGGGGTGCCAGGGTGGAGAGGTGCAGAGACGAGGCCCCTGCAGCCTTCGAGGGAAAGAGGGGAGCCCCGGTGCCAGGCCGGGCTTCTCCACTGCCCCTCCTGGGAGCCGAGGCTTCTGAGCCTCAGGTCCTGCCAAGGGCAAAGCCGCACCCACTGGGCCGTGCCGGCCAAACAGCAGAGGAAGTGGGGACACCGCACAGGCCCCAAGAGGGCGGCCACCAGAGGAGCAGCTCCGGGATCCCTGCCAAGGTTGAGCAGGAAGGCGGCAGCCCTCCCACGAGTTTGAATTTCAGAAACCAGCCCGGATTAGCCACACTCGGGTGCCCATGGCTCACTCAGGCGGCAAGAGCAAAAGCAGGCCAGGCAGACCGGCCGGCCGAAGGAAGGGGTAAGCCTGGACAGGAGACGGCCTGGCCGAATCCCCCGGCGGTTGGCCCTCCACCCAATGCAGGAATCCCCAGGGAAGAGACGGGCAGGCCTGGCCGAGAGGACACCAGCCTAGCCTGGCCTGCTCTGGGCCCTGAGCCATCGCCACCCCCAGGGGCTCTCAAGACCTGCCGGCCCTCCGGCTCGGCTTCCCAGGGCCCCCCGTTCTGTGGTCTCCAGCCCGCTGCCCCCCTCGTGCAGGGCCAGGGAAACGGGCTTCCCTGGAGCCTGGGCGGGGGGGGGGGGACACACGGTGGGTGAAATTGGCATTTTTCTAGCACTGAGTCCGGGTTTTAGAGCAGCCTGAGACCCCGAGTGCCAATCCTCTCTCCCCTTCCATCACAGCAGCGTCAAGTTCCGAGCTCTCGACGTCCAACGCCTGGATTTATCAAAGGTTTCGTGACTCTTGTTCTCTTGTCTAACTCATACTTGCCTTTCTGTTTCAAGCTTTTTTCCTTTGACTGACTTACTCGTGATTTTTTAAATTCCTATTATTTTATGGCGGAAAAGAGGCACAACTCCCATAAACGGACACACAATTCTACTGAGAAAACAGAGAAACTGCTTGGCGTGTGGTGGGTTCCTTTCTCCTCAGGAGGAACCACAGGCCCCCAAGTGAATAGCGCTCGTGCATGGGAGCCCCAAAGCAAAGCAATGGGGGTCTGGAAGCCACAGAACTCGCTGGTCCCCCCCCCAAGTGCGTCTTGCTTTCTCCAACAGTCTCAAGGCAGCTGGAGGGTCCTGAAATGCAGGCAATCAGCAGCCCCACTTAGCCCACCCCGTGGTGCCCTTCCCACATGCAAGGGGCTCCGAGGTCCCTGCGAGGTGACCCCCAGACCGGCCCAGGACTCTGAGCCAGGCCTTGCGCTGGGGGCAACGGCCAGGGCGCCTCCTGCTGGGGAGGGGGCCAACAGCAATTCAACCTCCCCCCACTCCCAAGCCCGACGGGCAAGGGGGCCGGCCCCGAACCCGCAGCAGGCCCCACCCTGGCCTTGCCCCCTTGGCCTCCCTTCCGGGCAAGAGAGACGCCCCCCTCCCTAGGCCCAGCAGCCTCTGTCCCAAGAGACCCCCAATTCCTGTCCGGGACGGCAAGAACTTCTGGCGGAATCCCAGGCCGCCACCCCCGGCCTAGACAGGCCCAGCAGGGCTGCAGTGGGGCGGGGGCAAAAGTGGGGGGGTCCGGTCCGGGCTCTCCGAAGGCCTGGAACACCCCCGCTGCAGTCGGCACTTTGGCCGCGTCGGGACGGCCGGCCGGCCCGGCCCTTTTGTCCGCCGCTCGCGCCAGCGCTCCGCTCAATGGGGGGCTGCGCGGCTGGCCGCCTTTCCCGCTAAGCCCCGGAGGGAGGCGGCGAGGCGAGGGGCGGCGTTGGCTGCGCCGAGCGAAGCCGCCCGCCCGCTTGACGCGGCCGCCCTGCCTGCCGAGAAGCCCCTGCGTCAGCAGCAGCAGCGGCAGCAGCGGCAACGGCGGCGGCCACGGTGGTGGCGGCGGCGGCGGCGGAGTGAAGGACAAAAGGATGCGAGAGCCGCCCCGGCGGCTGCTACCTGCGCCAGTCCCCGGAGCCGCGAGGGGGGCCGCTGCCAATCGCGGCGCCGGCTTAGGATGGTCCGGGGCTCTACCGCTGCTGCTGCCGCCGCCGCCCCCGCTCGCCCGCCTCCGCCGCCCCCGCCTCCCGCAGCAGTCGCCGGCCTCCGCTGAAAGCTGCAGGCGCGGCGGGTTGCAGGTGCCGCAGCTCCCCGCCGCCGGGCCCCGGAGGGCCGCCCGCCGCCTCGCCCGGGACTCCCGCTCGCCGCTCCTCTCCGCCCGAGCCCCCCCGCTCTAGGCGCTGCGCCCCGCCGGGCAGGCAGCGAGGCGCGGGCGAGAGGAAGCCGCCGCCGCCGCCGCCGCCGCGCCGGCCATGGAGCTGCGTCCCCCGCAGCGCCCCCACCG